TGGTTGAACTGTAAAGTGCCTTGAGATGACGTGTTGTGAATTGGCGCTATAGAAACAAACTGAATTGAAACTGAATTGAATTTAGCACTTAGATAAATATGTCCTAGTTTGCAGCTTTTCTAACCCTGCATCTATTTATTTCTACTTGCAGCCTTTTTTATTTTGCATGTGTCTTGTTTATGTTGTTTGTTAGCCTCATTTATTTATTTGCAGCAGTTTTTGTGGGCATTTCTACTTCCTGCTCTCTATATTCTGCAATTGCAGCATTTTTTCTTTTGAAAATCTTTTGTCTGTTAGCCTCATTGTTGTGTTTACGGGATAATTTGCTGTGCATTCAAGGATTTGGGTGGCATTTGCACTCCTTGGCCATGGTAGGTCATAGGTATTTAACTTGAGTGTGTAATGAAATTCCTCTTAGGTATTGACACTTGGCTCTCTAAGTAATCATTTACTAAATTTAATTGCATCCCAGAGGTCATGCAACCCATTTTGGGAACCACTATGTTAAAGTACCATGACTACAGATATTTAGTCCTGTAGTCATGCCTTGGAAAGTATTCCAACCTCACATCTCAGCCTGATGAAGAAAGAGGAGATTGCTATTCATTTTTTTGCAAATAAGTAAAAATATTTAGTCAGATTTACTAAAATAATGAAAATGGAGATTAGGTTTAACCAACTGAACCTCAGAATAAATTCAGCTGTTCTGTGAAAGCTTAGAACTTTAGTTAGAGAGCTGCACTGAAGGTCAAACAGCTTTTTCAAGAAGAACAGGAACCTTATAGGACAATATACAGGATATTCTAGTCAGATTCCATCAAAAAGAAAATCTTTAGCATAAATGAGAAACTCTGCTTGTGGTGGAAAGCTACTTCTGCACACACAACCCTGGACACACTGTCCCCATACACTGCAATAATTATGGAGTCTAAAAAAAAGATATTACCACTAAATCTGAGGGAAAAGGTACTCAATAGAAATGATCCATCCATCCATCCAGCAAGATATAACGTATAAAGATGTCTTGAACCACAATTAGCAGAAATTTGAAGTAAAGAATAGACTCCAACACAGAGATAAATAATCGTTTCTAAATGTAAGTGATTTCTTTCTTTAGTAAGGTCCACGTAATTTACAGGGATTGGTGGAGAAGGATGCTTTTCTGCACAAATGGTTAATATTCCGACAGGACAAGTCTCTTAGCCATACAGACAGAGCTGTCATGCAGTTTTAGATCGAATCTGAGAATCTGTAAAACAACTAGAACTTTAATCTTCACACATGTTTTTTATTCACATTAAACTCCTGTTTCAATAATAGAAACAGCCGTATGTATAAATCGTTTTCCTTCACAATAAAGCACTTAGTGTTGCTCTATCGCATAAGATCAAAGCACATTGAGGATTTCACATTATAATTCTTGTGAAAAAGCTTACGGTGTAATGGATAATTTTGCATTTTCTATTATTACACAGAAAATATAACATTTACCGAAAAAAAAAATTTTGAAAATGGTGTGAACTTAAAATGTGTGACAGTTACAGATTTACGTGGTAAAATTGGCCTGAAAATGAGCGTATTCTGTCATCTAAAGTTTAAGCATTTTTTTTATCACTCAACATGAAGTTATTTACTTATGAGATTTATTTCATCTGTGATTTCATTCATAAATTCTGACAACATGTTTTTTTGTCCCAGGTTTGGAACAACATCTCAGAAGCAAACATACATCTTTATTTAAGTGTGTTTAACGGATCAAATCATGTCAGTTTTTTTACTCTCACTTGTTGAAATGTTTGTATGAAAATAAGTATAAACAGTCTCACACCTTTACTTCATTATAACACATCTTATTATATTTAAATGGGATTTTCTTCTTATCGAAGTTTAAATGCAAGTATTTGAGATTAAGTTTATTGAATGATTTCATTCTCTAAATTATTTTGTTCTTAAGATGTTTTTTTTTTTACTATAGTTAATTGTCCAAAGGTTTCTAACTTTTGGGAGACAACAAAAACAACTTTTGATTGAAGACCTTTTTGTTTAACTCACTTGTGTGAACAGCTTCTCCCAGGAAGAGTCCCAAACCTGGAGTAAAGCTGCGACTGACCCTGATTTTCCAGCCAGAACTCCATTGTTTGCTCCCCTACAAAGATCTGAAGCATTCAAAGAGAAAACGAATGTAAAAAGACTTTACGTGCAAAACATTGAAGTAGGTAAATGTCTGTTAGCTCCACAGACTAAACTAAAATTTTTGTTTGCACAAACCTTCCGCTGCTGCTTTAACCTTCAGCTGCTACTGAGGTGAGGCGCCGAATAATGAACTCCAAACAGGACCGAGTGTTTGCAGGGGGACGGTGGATCTCTGTCCTCCTCCCATTCTTTAAACACACACACCCCCATGAGACTGTACAGTTAAAGATTCATCCTCTGTTAATAATAAGCTTTAGGCACAATTAGTTTTTTTTTTAAATAAGCAAAATATTTCCTCTCCCATTAAACCCGTAAATTTACCAGAAACCTACATTTAAATCGATAACTTAACAAATAACTCAAAGATAATTATTTTTTCTGAGATGTGTTGTTTATCAAACTTTATTTAAGGAGATTTCGTGGTTTCCTTCATTTTTTTTTATTCCAATTGTAGAAAACACTGTAAAAATGATCTAGAAATAAGTAAAAAAAGTCTTAAATTAAGTGTATTTACCCTTCATTTGAGTAGATAAATAAGATGATTTGCCAAAGGAATGAGTATATTTACTCTTAAAACAAGATAATTAGATAATATGCATCAAAAATTAGACAATGAAATAGTTTTTTTTTGTTATTTTTAATGTAAATTGTGTTGTTCTATTGGCAAAGTGTCTTACTTTCATCCTCAATTTAAGAAAAAATGCACTTATTTCAAGAAAAGAAATACCTATTCAGATTTTTATTTTTTGCAGTGAGACCTTCATGTATCGGAATCCACTTCTTTAAACCTGTTTTCCTTTTTATGATTTATGTGTTTCTTATCAACCACATCATCAAGATTTGCTACAGTCCTGGGGCCTGTTTCAATAAGGAAGTTCAACCAA